CTTTGCTTAAAGTAACCATATGCATCATTAAAACACATACTGTTCTTTGTTCTATTCAGAATTATCCTCAATAAAGAGAAAATGGAATTGAATGTTTAGCTAATTCCATACAATAGCTATACTACTGTATAATTTATAAGCAGTGGGTAGCCTAAGAATATAATTTTTTTCTTCAAGATTACTGTGTGGAATACAAACCAAGTCTTTCTTCTAAGAGTATAATTTGCCAGTATATTATTTTGCCAAACATTTTAAAAAGGATTATTGAAAATATATAGAAGGCCACTTTAGGAAACTCTACCTTTTGCTTGCTAATACATAAATTGTAACCATTTGTTCTTTTTGCCACAGCCTTTGGGTATTCAGGTAAAATACCTCCTTCAGAATGTTCCTTAGCATGTCTTATTTTTATTGACTCATGAACTTGAAAATATATCTTAATATATTATTATGTGAGAATAGTGGAAATGTATTCCATTATTAAGCAAAAACTGTATATACAGAATCCGTCTGAGTGCTACCATTTGTCTTCCCTATGAATTTCCTATCTCAAGAATGATTGTATACTTAATTTGTTATTTTCATCTATATCTGTACATGTGCAGATATAACAGATTGTATAGTATGGACTTGTAGAGAATGAAAAAGACCTGTTTGGGATTTGAAGGAGTCCAAACCTATATTAACATAAAAGCAAAATAAATTTTAAAAATTGATATCTGTATGTATATACAAGTAAACATAGTTTATTGCATATTTACATATGTGTGACATAAATATAAAATGTATAAAAATAAATTATATATCTGAAATAGAAGCAACTCTACACATGTGCATTATTATGCCTTTCCTCTGCTTTTGTTCTCACTTTCTTCAGATTGTACCCTCATTGCTTAACCTGAATCCATAAACTATTTGAGGTAGCTGCTAATCATTTGTTGAATTTAATTGATGCTGTTAGTAAGGGAGGAAATACTTCTCTGTTGTTACTTTAGTGGAAACCATGGTTGGAGGACCACTGCTTCAATGACTTGCTGACTGCTTCCGTCCACTTGTTCTCCACTGGATGTTTCCACTCTTAGGATATGATTTTAAGATTTACACCAACAGTTTCTCTCATCCAGAAGTATATTTTTACCAAAAAAAATCTTCAGAAACTAAACACTGAAATGCACCAACATATTATGTTCATTATTTTGAAGTTAATAGCAAATACTAGAAATCATTTACTTTACACAGTACCGTTCCTTAGTATTATTAAGCCTTTTTAATTTAAAAGATGTTGAATATTTTCGTAAGCCTTTCTAATTTAAAAGATGTTGAATATTTTCAGTTCTAAAATATTTTAATAAGAGCAGAAATATTTAAAATGTTATTGCTACTTAAAATAATATTTGAAAATAACATCTGCTATAACTAGCCTTAAAATAGGTGATCATTAGCTAAAATGCCTACTAAATTGTTTTCAAAAAATGTCTTTCAGTTGAAGACTAAATCAATGTTTAAAGCAGCCAACTGGTGATTTATATCCCAAGTAACATATTGCAATTAACCAGCAATTATTAATGATGCTACTTCTAACCCCAGTAATCAACAATTACACAAAGTTTGATAATAGACTTTATAAGGTCCCCATTATCAATATATAGCTCATAGGACTTAATTAAAACTAATTATTATACTGACTAATCAAATATCTAACTTTTGTTCCAGAGGTACATGCATGCTACCACATAAAACAATAATTGGATTTTATAGATTATTAGCCTCCATACTGCTTTGTCTAGTATTGCCTTGACAATAGTCGTTGGTACTCGACATTAGTATAATGAGCTTACAATCACATGACATAAAATTCTGAATTTGCATACATCTAATCTCATGAATGTCAAAATAGAGAACTTCTGATATATGCTAATGAGAACGTTTTAGTGAGGAAAAGTTACCATAAAATACAGTGTAGAAAAATTTTATTGGAGGCTATATTCCATATTTCCATATACATTTCCTGATGTTGATATTTAAAGGCTAAAACAATCATAAACAACTTTTTAGATATAATTACTGTTAGTAACCAGAACTGCAGGCATCATAATCCTTTGTCTATTAATTCAGTGTGGCCAGGTATGACTTTTTGAACCTGTATTTTAACTGAAAAGAAAGAACTTCATATTTGTTGAACATCTATAATGGGCTAAGCAATGTGTTCGATACTTACTGTAGACTACTTTTATTAATCAACACATCTACTCTGTGAAACAGATAGAAACTGAGACTTAGACAGATGTGGTGTCTTGTTCTACTCAAGATTACAAGGTTTATAAATGTGAGAAAATTTTATTTTCAGATTTTTCTACTTTTACATGTTATATAATTATTGTAGAATACTCACAAGAATAAATCTTTATGCATTAAAAACAAAATACCACAATCAATTGCAAAATTTAAATTAAATTTTTCTAATGTTTTGTTATTTGAAATAGCAATATTCTGGTATTTTTATTAATGTTAAAGAACTTATACATAGTATGAAGCTTATTTTACTATGTATTTTTCCATAAAAAAATTACTTTTTGGTTGTATAAAATACAAATAAAATTTACTGTCTTAACCATATATATGCAGTTCAGCAATATTAAGTATATTCACATTGTTGTGCAACAAATCTCCAGAACTCTATAATGTTTTAATTCTACACCTGAATAGAAATAAATTTAAGGAATAAAACAGGCTCATAATCTTTGTAATTGCTCTTAAAAATATCTCTTAAAATATTATTGGTCTTTATATGAGGCAAGCAATGCCATAACACTGCATTGCAGAGAGATTTAGTTTGTGACACTGGTTTTATGTCAGAAATGTGACTTACTAATTAGCTAACAGCCTTAATGTTTGGGTAAGTTGTGTCATCCCTTATAGTCTGCAAAGTTATTCAATGAAATAATTTTCTAACCAGAAATTAGTAGAAATATAACTTACTTTGATCCCCCCAAAGAAGTCCCAGAAAAATAACCAAAAAGGAAAAAAAAAGAAACATACAAATGCATCTGATTTTTTAAGTTTACTTTGGTAGGTATAGAAATTCAAACACCATCAGTTAATTGTACGGGCATTTTTTATTGGCTTTTTTATTTCTCACTTTATTTTCTGGGTTGCTTTATGATGTTGTGACACATTGATTTTCCCTCCTACCCCCCATTTCAACAAAGCCTGTAGAAAATAAAATATCTTTATTGTTACATAACAGCACAGCAGGCTTCACATTTATTATGGGACCAAATAGATGAAAAAGTGGCTTTTCATTTTAGGCAAAGCAAGCCACATTTGAAGAGACCCTAGGGGTTAAAAGGTCACAGTTATGTAAATTCACAAAATAATTTCTGATTAAATGAACTATTGTACCCCCATTTAAAAGGAACATCTATTTTGATTTTTTTTTCTGAATTTTAATTGTTTGTCTTTAATATGTCAACATGAGTATATTTAGTCAGCAAACATGAATATGTGTTTGCTGATGAAGCAGTTACATTAGGGGAAAAGGGCTTTTAATGGAGTAAGAAATTGGTGAAGATTTATATGAGCACTATGGAATAGCCTCTTGTTATGGAAAATGATACATGCCTCTTTACTAAAAGAAAGAAAAAAACAAGATTAAATTAACTGATATTGGTGATGTCATAAGCCACTAATGCAGAGTTTGAGTGGTTTAGAAATATCAGAGGAAGCTGGTAATGCAATTACTACATTAGCATGTAGTTGGAATCTGGTTTTCACCTGCAAAATAAACTTCAATGAGACATTTATTTGCCCTTGAGTAATGGTAATTGTCACTAAGTTTCCCACGTTACAAGGTTTTCAGTGAAATTGTCTTTTCATGTATTCCATGGAAGAGCAAATGTTTGAAAGTAATGCTGATGGCAAGAAACTCAGCCAGTGCTTTCTAAGCTTTTTTGCCTCACTGCACATATTGGGGGAAAAAAGAAGTACAGCACACTGGAATATACAGAAGAGGCTTTTTGTAGCTATAGGTTCCAGTTATCCTCAGGGTTGAAGGGACAAAATCTTAGCTTAGCTGCAACCTGCCTGGGACACACCAGGATGCTATGGGACATAGATTGAGAAACTGAAATGTATACAGCATTCATTGATCCATGTAACATACGCTTCTTTAGTACCTACGATGTGCCGGTTGCATTGTAGGCCATGGGGATAAAATAGTAAGAAAATCAGACAAAAATCTCTATTTTCTTGGAGTTTATATTCTGAGGGGAAAATAGAAAAGTAACAAGTTAAATAAGGGAAATATAGCACATTACATGGTGATACTCTTAAGAAGAAGGAAAAAATGAGTGAACTGGAAATATATTTCATTTATTATATATTCATTTCTTTTTATTTTTATTGTTTAAGAAATAAGATCTCACTCTATTGCTCAGGCTGGAGTGCAGTGGCACGATCATGGCTCAATGCAGCCTCGCCTGCCCAAAACTCAAATGATCCTCCTGCCTCAGCCTCCCAAATAGTGTATGGCATCTCTCTTGGTTAATTTTTCCTGTTTTTAAAAGAGACTGTTTTGCCTTGTCGACCAGGCTGATCTAGAACTTCTGACCTCAAGCGATCCACTCATCTCGGCCTCCCAAAGTGCTGGGACTACAGGGGCGAGCCACCAACCTGATGGAAATATTTCAGATAATGAGATTGGGAATTTTCTAAGCAGGAATCTTTAGAAATATAACATTACTTCTTTGATCCGCCCAAAGAGGTCCCAGAAAAATAACAGCAACAACAAAACTGAGTCCTCCTGAGTAGCTGGAATGACAGGTGCAAGCCACTGTGCCTGACATGTTCTCTCGGTTAATAGTAGCGAGGCGGTCTGTGGTTCTTTTATCTCAAAGCATCATTTATGCCAGGAGCAGGGCTGTGCACCAGAATCAGCATTAGCAGAAACCACAGACAGCATAACCCAACCGTGTCATGCTGAACATAGAAACATTTCTTACTAAGTGCATCTGCAGAGTTGCTACAGTGCCAGTGAATCTGCTGAGGGCTGCCTTTGGAAGCCAGGCCAGTGATACTGTGGAGCACAACTCATATAACACAGTTATGAGGGTATTTTTCTTATTTATTTTTAGTGACAGATAACATCATACATTTTATTATGTACATGATGATTTGAAGTACATATACATTGTGGAATAAAAACAAATACATGATGATTTGAAGTACATATACATTGATGCCAATGATGGGCCCTCCTCCTCCTGGGATGATGCCAGTGGGACCTGCTCCTGGAATGAGGCCACCCATGGGAGGCCAGATGCCAATGATGCCTGGGCCCCAATGATGAGACCTCCTGCCCATCCCATGATGGTGCCCACTTGGCCTGGAATGACTCGACCAGACAGATCAGGATAGAGGGGAGGCCTCATTCTATCAGTTTTATATTACCTGTTCCGCTTCACCAGGAGATCATGCTGCTGCAATGCTGGATTTTCTAAACAGCATAAGGAAGACTTGCTCCCCTGTCTGATCAAAGAGAATAGTTTTGGAGGGGAGAGGTGGGGCAAAAAAGATGCAGTTTTCATTTGTATTGGGAAATGTGAAAATAAACTTGTCAACTCTTTAAAAAAAATTGTGGAATAGCTAAATCTAATTAACAAATGCATTACCTCATATAGTAATTACTTTTGTCGTAAGAGCATGTAGCATCCACTCTCTTTACGTTATTCAAGAATACATCATCAATGATAATATATCATCTTTAACTATAGAAATGGAGAGTCTGGTGGTCTTCCCTAGAAAATTGCTGCAGTATGGACAGTGATGGTCAGCAGATCCCTTCCAAAATTTTCTCTGGGTAGTACACATGGTGGCCACTTCCAAATCAACAATTCATTGAGTGGCAGTCGGGGAGAGTCTCTTATCTCAGCATTTGATTACAGTTTCTGTGCCATAAGGCAAAAGTGAGAATGAATGGCTTTTTCCATATACCAGGAAGCTTCAGATATGACTAAATAAACCAAGAGAAAAGGGAGGGTAGGAATAGAAGACTCTGACTATACCTCACCGCTGTTCTGAACAAATGCACATGCAAACATCTGAACCTGAGACCTGACAAGTTCCGACAATGTTATTTACATGCCAAATTCTTTTTATTTATTGCATTTTAGGTTTTAGGTTACATGTGAAGAACATGCAAAATTGTTGCATAGGTATACACGTGGCAGTGTGATTTGCTGCCTTCCTCCCCCTCACCTATATCTGGCATTTCTCCCCATGCCATCCCCCACCAACTCCCCACCCCCCGCTGTCCCTCCCCTGTTTCCCTCCAACAGACCCCAGTGTGTAGTGCTCCCCTCCCTGTGTCCATGTGTTCTCATTGTTCAACACCCACCTATGAGTGAGAACATGCGGTGTTTGATGTTCTGCTCCTGTGTCAGTTTGCTGAGAATGATGGCTTCCAGGTTCATCCATGTCCCTACAAAGGACACGAACTCATTGTTTTTGATGGAATGGCGATTATTAAAAAATCTGGAGACAACACATGCCAAGTTCTTTACAGAAATACTCAAGTTACACACTTACTAGATAAATGTCAGCTGAATAAGCAATGTTTTGCTGTTCGATCAAGCTTTATCATTTGCTTTAAAAATCATATTTCCAAGTTCCTTTAAAATTAAACTTTGAGATATTAATTTTATTAACAATGAAGTGAGAAAATATGAGAAAAAAAATCATGAAATTTGAAATTTGAATTGGTATTATGATAATCGAAAACCAGCTCCTACTTTGTTCTTTATTTCAGGATAATCTCGGGCTTTTTTTTTTTTTTTAACATTAGTTAAAAGGGGGCAAACCTCCAAAATGACCACAGATACTTTCTGCCTTCTGGAATATATACACTTGTATACTATCCTATCACATTATACCAAAACTGGTCTGTGTGCTTTGTAGCATATAGCAGAAGTTATGTTGTATCACTTCAGAGATAAAATTGTAAAAACTATGGCTTTCATCCTGAGTAGATGAATATATGTATCTCTCTCTGTCTCTCTCCCATTCTCCCTCTCTCCTTCTCTGCCACTCTTCCTCTCTCCCTCTCTTTCTGTCTCAGACCACTAACTCTGGGGAAACCCAGGTTCCCAGATTCTATGTATTAAGCATCCCTACTCTGTAGAGGCCCTCATGGTGAGAAACTGAGACCTCTAGCCAACAGACATATACTTGTGCTAGAAACTTCTACCTCCAGGGTGGTCTCTGATAACTGTATTCCCAGGTGACACTGCAATTCTGACCTCATGAGGTTCTCTGCGCCAGAACCACCTAGCTAAACCAGGCCAAGATTACTAATCTGTGAGATAACAAATGTTTGTTGTTTTGAGCCATGAAGTTTTGGGACAATTTCTTATGCAGTAATAGATAACTAATACAGTTAGTTCCTGGGGGGAAAAAAAAACTCAATTCTCAGCAGATTCGCATGTTAAAAAAATGTTTATTACTCACATAATGTGCATTGTCTATATATATTTGCTTGGATAGTATATTAGTTTGTTTTCACACTGCTGTAAATAACTGTCCAAGACTGAGAAATTTATAATGGAAAAAGGTTTGATTGACTCACAGTTCCACACGGTGGGGGAGGCCTCAGGAAACTTACAATCATGGCAGAAGGGGAAGAGGAAGGAAGGCACCTTGTTCGCAAGGTGAGAGGAAAGAGAATGAATGCTAGAGGAACTAACAAACACTTATAAAACCATCAGATCTCATGAGAACCCACTATCATGAGAACAGCATGGGATAAACCACCCCCATGACCCAATTAACTTCATCTGGTCTCTTCTTTGACATTTGGGGATTATGGGGATTATAATTCAAGAAGAGATTTGGGTGATGATATGGTTTGGCTGTGACCCTACCCAAATCTCATTCTGAATGTGTCCTGAGAGGAGCCCAGCGGGAGGTAACTTAATCATGGGGGAAAGTTACCCTGATGCTGTTCTTATGTTTGTGAGTGAGTTCTCAAGAGTTCTGATGGTTTTATAAGGGGCTTTTCCCCCTTTTGCTCAACACTTCTCCTTGCTGTTGCCATGTGAAGAAGGGCAGTTTTCCTCCCCCTTCTGTCATAATTATAAGATTCCTGAGACCTCCCCAGCCATGCTGAACTGTGAGTCAGTTAAACTTCTTTCCTTTGTAAGTTACCCAGTCTCTGATATGTCTTTATCCTGAGAATGGACTAATTCAGGTGGGACACAAAGCCTAAACCGTATCAGGTAGCTTTCCTGGATAACTGTGGCCAAAGTGGTGACTCTAGAATTCAGGCTGCTCACATCTTGTGACTCCATCATCCTGAATCTTTTAAATTACCTGATGTCAGGAATGGAAGACCAGTAGAAGAAAGAGAATGGGGAAATGTATTTTGGTGGGCCAGGTTTGGAAATGGCACACATCACTTCTGCCACCATCCACTGTACTCAATTACAGTTTCCAAACAAATTGCATATTGACAATAGGTTGGGAATACACACCATCATCTCTGTTACTATTACCTAAAGAACTGTGACAAAGTTAGCAGCTACCAAGATAGAATCTGCACAATCTGAGAGATGTCACCAACAGAATTTTGGCATTTTCATATGGCCATATTACATGGGCTGTGTGATTCACTTTATGAAATTATCTTTTAATTAGGAAATATTTTCAAATGAGAAATTTTTATATGTAAGAAGTTTAAAGTAAATTAAATATGAGCAAAGCAGCCCAAACATGTGATTTTGACATTAAGACATGCTAATCCTAAGATAACCAGACATGTTTGCTAACACATCAAATGTTAAATGATGTCATTCTAAAACTGTCACTGAATACCACTCAATCATAAAAACAAATATAAGTGTAGGCTTTGAAAAGTAGTCTATTATTATAAGAAAGTCATCCAAATGACTCAGAATATGATATGTTTTAAATTACTATAAAAATATATAACATTAACAAATGATGATATAGTAAAATTCTTACAATATATTTATAGAAGTCCAGATATGTATAGACACTTAGATAAGGCACATTACATAGGTTTTTCAGAGTTTAGTTTTGAAATATTCTGATAGTCAAACTTTCTTTTTCCAAATGAAATCATAGATGGGCACAATGTAAACAAAAATAATACAGCTCGGTATTGAACAGAAAGTCCTTCATTACTTGTGAAACCTGGAAATTAATTATTTCACACTCTTATGATTCTTAGAGACATCATTTAGAAAATGTATTCATTAAGATTGTTTTTAACAGCAAGTAACAAAAACTCAACCTCATAGTCAATTTTTTTTTTTTTTTTTTTTTNTTTTTTTTTTTTTTTTTTGCTCGTATAACAAAATCAGAAGGCGTGTGGACCAATAATGTTAAACTGATACCTCAAAATTTTCCTGGCCTCTGCCTAATGCTGACTGTCTCAGAGTCAAAAAAAATGACTTACAGCTCCAGAAATAGAGCCATGTTCTCAGCAAGAAGACAGAGAAGGAAGCAGCAGTGCCTGTCATTTCAAATCTTTCATCAGGAAACATTTTTCACAAGTTCCTCTGTCCCCAGCCTCAGAAGACTCTCACTTAGTTCTCATTAGCCAGACGTGAATCACATAACTATTCAGAGCTGAGTCAAACTGGCAATGCAATGAACAGGGAAATTCTGATTTACTTAAACGGGATTCATCACATGGAACTGGGTTTCTGCCGCCCCAAATGAAAGTAAGTTTCTGTCACTCCAAAGAAAGGGAAAAAAAAAGATACTATATTGGCAACTAAGAATATCTACCACAAGTAGACACTATAACAGATGTAGCTCCACTTTTGATTACAGCAACTTGATTTTGAAATTGCATTTACACTTTGGCAACTAATATTATAACACTGCCCTAGAGGCAATTCTAAGGTAACATAAAAATTGGGTCTAGCAATGCATAATACTTGAAAGCAATTGTTCATAAGCATACACCATGATAACAAATATTCCCCTGTAGGTTTTCAATATAAATGAAAAGAGATGCAGATGGGTCTGTTTTACAGCCAAGTATATTTCCACGTGGCAGCATGAACTGAGGTTAGGCATAGGAATTAGGCTTTTATGATGATCAAAAATGTATGTGCTAGTAGCTCTACTTGACATTAAAGGTAGTAATTTATCTTCTTTGTATTAGTTTTTTTTGCTATCTGTGAAACTGGAATAACATTCCCATCCTTGTAGAGAGATATAGATTACTTGAAAAGGAAAAGTATTCTACGTTTCCAAAGTGCTCAATAAATTACATGCATTAAATTGCCATTGGTTTGTTTGACACGTCAGAAAACTTTCAGTATTTTTTAAAGAGTCCCTTTCCATTTATCTTTATTTCCGGATCTTTCCCCAAATGTCTAAGAATCTGAAAAGCATGTCTTTC